TTTTCTGCTGCCTGTGGATCCATATGTGGAACTCTAAGTTACTTCTTCAGCACCATGCCTGTCTGTGTGCCACCATGCTCCCCTTCATGACAATGTACTAAACCTGTGAAACTATAAGCAAGGTCCAATTAAATGCTTTCTTTTGTAAGAATTACCTTGGTCATGGTATCTCTTTACAGCAACAGAACAATGACTAAGACATAAACCATCACCTGTATCCTATCAGAAATGAAAAGGTGGTGATTTCTGAAAAAGAAATGGGGGGGGGGCGCAAGTGTGTGCAGGTCAAAGGACAACTTCAGGGAGTTAGTTCTCTCCCTCCCTCATGGGAGTTCCAGGGATCAAATTCAGGTCATCAGACTTAGTGGCAAGTGCCATTAACTGCTGAAACAACTTGCCAGTCTTATTTCAGAACATTTTAACCAATGTTTCATAAACTATGACAAGAAAACATTAATTTTCTTTTTGAGGAGTTGCTAGTGACCAAATCCAGGGCTTTATGTATGCTAGACAACTGTTCTACCAGGTAAGTTACATTCCCGGCCCCAATCAGTTTATTTTTATCTTTATATCAAGGTAAACTTTATTCTCCAGCCATGGAAACAACAGAAAATAAGACTGCCTCCTCACAAATCACTAATTTAAACAAAATAAAATTAAAGAAAAAAAAAAAAAGGCGAGAGAGCTGAGCATCCTACCATGCATATACTTGGACAATTAAATGAAAGTAAAACAAAGCTAAGCATGGTAGCTTATGCCTATAGATAAAATATAATTTAAAAAATATTTTTGAGACAAGGTCTTATTATGTATGTAGCTCTGGCTGTCCTGGAACTCTATTTTAAATCAGGCTGGCCTCAAACTTAGTGATCCATCTGCCTCTTTCTCCTTAGTGCTGGTATTGAAAAAAAATGACCACCACAGCCAGACAAAACATTTTTTTAAATAGAAATAAGTAAAACTTGGATGTGGTGACCATGCCTAAAATCCCAGCACTCAGGAGATGAGAGGTAGCCTTGTCTACAAAGCAAGTTCCTGAGCATCACAGAACATTCTCTTTAAAAATGAATGAATGCCGGGCGTTGGTGGCGCACGCCTTTAATCCCAGCACTCGGGAGGCGGAGGCAGGCGGATCTCTGTGAGTTCGAGGCCAGCCTGGGCTACCAAGTGAGTTCCAGGAAAGGCGCAAAGCTACACAGAGAAACCCTGTCTCG